ACTTTCGTCATTAATTCTCAAAGCAACAAATTGTTTTCACCGTAAGCTGCCGCAAATTACCATCCAGCACTGTCGCTACTTCCACCAATACAAATTGAAGCAGCCCATCAACCCTTGAAAACAGAGCGAAATAGTTCAAAGAGCACGGATATAACCCTTACCTTCCATACTGTTTCTTTCTCACATCCATAGGAGTTGTGTCGTGTTCACAATGGATTCCTGCAAGTAACCAAACGGTCAATGATTTACACAATGTTTACAACAGACGCAAAACAACACCAACTCCATCAGAACAAGGGGAAATTCAAGGCTTAAATAAGTTTGTTTTAAAGACAGGAGCCAGATCATAGATATTGCAAGAGTAAGCTATGCCGATACCTCTTTTCGAATCCACAATGTCGACAAAAACAACACCAACTCCATCAGTTCCAGAAACAAGTATGCATCAGTTTAAGCAAAGACCTTATGAATTAAGTTTAGACGGGAAAGAAGTTTACCCTGCGTTGAAGTGCGAAGCTCCAAGAACCTCCCTCACGAGCTGACCCGACGGCTACTGTTAAGGACCAATTCACAAGAGAAGACATGATCAGTCCAGTAAGATTCTCGAATAATACCACAAGCAAAGCCAAGTTCTAGTCTTGAAGCTCGCAACAACTGTCGATAGCGTGCTCCACAATCCGTCTCACGATGAAGGCGTTTCAACCCTAGTATTACAGTTCAGGTAAAGTGATTGGTCAGCAAAACATTCGAATAAAATTGGGAAGAATTTTGATGACACAAGAGTTGAGGTTCTTACCGACAGAGTCACAATCCTATCCGCTTTGTCGAAGTTGTTCGAAGGCAAAATCCAAGGAATCAGCGAGTTAATTGAAGAATATTCCTTAGGGGAGAATATCCTACTCAAAGAATGAATCAAATCCTGAAATTAAAGTACAGAGTAAAAGGTCAGTTAATCAAATCATTAAGAATCGGACAGGAAAGGAAAGGTTCCAGATATTTGCCTAAACCGAAATAGGAAATCCAATCAAATTTTCAAAGCCTTTTAAACCAAATCTCAAGATTGATTTCTGAAAAAAGCCTATAAAGAGGATCGATAGCACAAACCCAAGACCCTAGATCAAAAAATCAAAAGAGATTGGAAACAGAAAACTTATCTTCTCTGTTGAAAGAGCCTTAAACCAGCCGCCGCGATTCCAAGCCATCATCAGAGACCGATCCAAGCTCTCAAATTCCACCGCAAGACCTCAACCACACCGTCGGAACCAAAGCAGATCCTCCGACGCCCTTAACTCGCGGTAACCCATCCTTTTCCGTCTAATTTATTGAAGCTTGTGATTTGTGTGTTTATGTTTCAGGTTTGGGGAAGCGGAAGAAGAAATCGTAAGCAGACCGAGATTTGAGCGAGAGAGAGGAGAGACTGAGAATGGCGATCGCGGGAGGGAAAGGGGATTAAGGGTTTCTCCGTTTCCACTCGTTTTTCTTATTTTTATTATTTTATCTTGTAATATTAAATCACTAATCACACACACACACTAATCGCATGCTTTCCCCCATTGATTCTTAATCAAGCCGCTAATCAGTTTTTTTAAAAACTCTTGTTTTTTTAGTAATTAACTAATCCACTTTAATTAGCTTTTTTTAAACACCCTTTAAAGAACTAATTTTCTAAATAAGTGACAATATATTCATGTTACATTTTTTTATAATAACTTTTTATATAAACTCTTGTTTTTTTATAGTGGGTAAATCTATGTTTTTTTAAGGAAAATAATTAACAAATAAGAGCTTTTCTTATAATAAAAATGCACATAACCGTTTTAAAATTTGGGATAAAACCTTTAAAATCTAAATACCATCTCATTATCAAGAAATAATCTTTAATAAAAACAAATACAACCTTTCCATCCAAAATCAAATCTTTTTTTTATTTCAAACCGAAATCAATGATCAACTACCTAAAATCAAATCAACATCGTAATACAATCAATCTCACCTCACGACACATTTACACATCTGTACACTTAGCGCTTTCATGCGTACATATTGTTTATCTTTATCTGCTCTTATTCACAATGCACACACACTCACTTAGCGCTTTCATGCGTGTGTATGGTTTATATTTCTGCAATTTACATTATCGCAATTCATTTACATTATCAATTTATATCCATGCATCGCATTCCGTCCAAAGGAAAAACCTACACATAATTCAACGTTGTGTGTAGTTGCACATCATATGCATCATTCTCCCTCCGATCCTTGATTCCATTCAAGTCGATCATGTAAGTTTAGGACCTACCCCATAGGAAGGACCTTGTTTTATCTTTACAACATAGAAACAACACATACAATACAACTTTTCAAACACATTTAGAGAATAGATGTTAATCATCTTAAGTGAGATATAATCTCCACCCCACAACAATACAATCAAACATGTAGGGACTTTGCCTTAAGAACGACAAAGGCATACTTGGCGACCATCCGAGTATGTAAGACCTTTTCTTAAGATGATGCAAAGACCATTTCCTACAACCCTTCTCTTTTACATTTGTGGCGGTTATATCTCCCTTAACATGAAGACTCGTCTCTTCTCCTAAACCCAATCAAAACAACTACCCTAAACCCGTAGGAACTTTGACCACAGTCAAAGAGCTCCTCTAACCCTTTAGGGTGAACTACAAAATACTCTGATTCCACTCCCGTAAGGATATGTAGGCACAAGGTGCGATGCCTTATCGAGTATACTTAGAAATAAACCCCTAGGGTCTCTAAGCCATTAAGCAGATAAACACTTAGCAGTAAACAAACATAAAACAAGAGGTTCCTGTAGAGTACTACAGAAACTTAGGATGCTAGTACCTTCCCTAAGTTTAACCAACCCCCGAACCTAAACAATCTAAACCTTGCATTTGCATTGCATTGTGGGAATTTCGATCTTTATCCCTTCCTTTGGACAAATCAAAGTTCGGTTGCAAAAATGAATTAAAGATTCAAACTAATCAATAGTTTGGTATCCGATTTTCACCGCGACAATACTCTAAAGTTTGTTCAAGTAATTTGTGCTGCAAATATTAAAGTGAATATTATTCTGGAAGCAAATTAGATCTGAACATGAAAAATATGCAAGGTTCTGAAGCGTCAGAAGCATCTCTTAGAAGAATCTGAATGCTGCCTACAGAAGATTCTGAGCGCTGTCTACAGAAGGTTCTGAAGCAGATGCTACAGAAGAATCGGAAACAGAATCCAGAAGCATCTGAAGCATTGAAGACTTTTGTATGAAGAGTTTCAAGCTTAGTTTATTTCAGAAGACTCTGATAGTACTACGCTGCCAGTACTGAGGATCTGATTCATAAAACTCTTCTCTGAATTATTACACGCTGAAAGCACACTTGTTGCATTACTCTAATTCAGCAAACTCTGATGAACATCAGAAGACTCTGATCACTCAAGGCTCTGATGGTATTTACTGAAACTTGTTGAAGAAGAATTTAAAGTTACGTCCGTTGGTTTGGCCAAACGACTCTTTCCTCATTTATGCTAGACACAAGAACACAGACAAAAAGGATTTCTCTGTGCATTCTATTTCTAGGAAAGGTCATGTGATGTGAAGACAAAAAGACTCAGCCCTTTTCAGTACACAGCCTTCAACGTGAAAACTACTTGGACCTCTGTGCCTATAAAAGGAAGACTCCATCACTCTTCTTCAGTTGACGAAATATTGAAAGAATTCAAAGAAAGCTCTCATACAATTTATTCTCATTTGCTGAATTTATTTCATAGTTCTTAAAACTTAAGTGTAAAATCATAGTTGTTATATAGCTTAATTAGAAGCATTTAAACACTTGTTTTATTCTTACATTTGATTGTAAAAGATCCTTAAGAAGATCCAGTTGGGATCAGTAGTTCTTGAGAAGACTAAGAACAGTTGCTCTTAGTTCTTGCTATTGTAATCAGTTGATTAATAGTGGATTAAGTCCTTGTTGAGAAAGGCAAATCACTCTTGATAGGGTGGACTGGAGTAGTTGAGTTCAATGAAACAGGATAAAAATCTTTGAGTTTTTATTGCTATAAGTTTTTTCTATATACTTATTCAACCCCCATTCTAAGTATTTTCTCACCTTCACAAAATACGCCTTTGGCAACACTAATTCTACTACGGTTATGAATTCCACCGTTGTAATACCGCAAACTAGACGCACCTGATATATTTTTTTATTTTTTGAAAGTTATTTAATCATGGTTGATATAAACAACCGTGGTGATAAAGTAATAGTTAGAAGCTTTCAATCCTATCAACTACATTTTTTTTCCATTTTTCCTATTACAAAAGTGCATATCACATAAGTTCAGAAATAAATAAAAAATTGAGCACTATTTAGCCGCGGTTTTAGTCTACAATCTTGTAATAATATCTACATTTCACTGAGGTTGTAAATATCAAATGTGATTAAAGTTTTTCCTGATAAATTTAAAACGAAACAAATTCATTATTTCCTTCATAACATGCCTTAAGTGAACTAGCAAACCAACGTACCAGCAAACCAGAGACGACAATGATAGCGATATAAAAATATTCATCTTCACAATCTTCGTTCATTTGAATCTTCGTTCTTGATAATCTTCACTATCTTCATTCTTGGTATTTTCAAAGTACGATATGTTTTGTGCAAACTTCACTCTCTTTCTCATGTTTCTAATTCTTGATAATCTTCACCATCATCATTCTTGTTTGATTTTGTGGTCAGTTTCTTGCAAAGCTCATATGCTTTTTCCACATGCTTAATATTTAGAGTTGTATTATTGTATTGTATATACTTTATGCTTTGTTGTTGGATTTTATGGTCTGTTTCTTGTAAAGTTCATATGCTTTATCCATATGCTTAAGATTTAGAGTTGTATTATTGTACTAAATATTCTTTAGTTTTTTTACATTCTTTACATTTAGATTTTTTTTTACCATTCACAATATTGTTTTGATATAAATTTTAGAATTTATTATGGATCGTAGTTGGATGAAAGCTGATAGATTAGGTCCGATATATGAGAAAGGAGTTCTTGAATTCCTTGAACACGTTGATCAAAATCTTCCTGACAATAATGATATCTTTTATTGTCCTTGTGTTAATTACGGGAATATAAATAAAGGTATGAAGGATGAGATATTACATCACCTATGTTGTGATGGTATATGTCAAAATTATACAATATGGACGTGGCATGGTGAGGTGGAAAAAAATAAAAAACCTGCGCCACAAAGTCACGAAGTTGACGAAGATGAATATATGGATGACCGTCTTGAAGATATGTTATGTGATATTGGATAATCTTCTTTTAAGAAAGCCCATATTTATGATATTTTATGTAGTGGTAAGGACACCCATCTATATAAAGGGTGCGCAAGTTTTACACGATTGTGTGCAGTTTTAAAATTTTTTAATCTGAAAGCAAAAAATGGATGGTCGGATAAAAGTTTTATGGAATTGCTTCATTTGCTAAAACAAATGCTACTAGAAGATAACAATTTTCCTAATCGTTGTTATGATGCCAAGAAGATATTGTGTCTATTGGGTTTGGAGTATATCAAAATACATGCATGCCTTAATGATTGCATATTATACAGGAAATAGTATGAAAATTTTGATCAATGTCTGGAATATGGGGCGTCGCGTTACAAGCTGAAGAACAACAATGGTGACGATAACGACAATTACAATGTTAGTAAGAAGAGGCCTTCTGCTAAAGTGCTATGGTACTTTCCAATAATTTCAAGATTCAAGAGACTTTTTGCTAATGTGGATGACGCAAAGAATATTAGATGGCATGCAAATGAAACAAAATGAGATGGAAACATACACCATGTAGATGATTCTTTGCAATGGAAGAAAATTAATTCGTTGTTTCCAAATTTTGGTACTGAGCCAAGAAATCTTAGGTTTGGGCTTTCCACCGATGGAATGAACCCCTTTAGTAACATGAATACTAACCATTCTTCGTAGCCTATTCTTCTCACGATTTACAACCTATCTCATTGGTTATGCATGAAGCGTAAGTATATGTTGTTAAGTATGATGATTTTTGGACCACAATAACCTGGAAACGACATAGATGTTTATCTAAGTCTATTAATTGAAGATTTAATACTTTTGTGCGAGGAAGGTGTTGAATTTGATGATGCATATTTTGGTGAAAAGTTTAAGATGCGTGCAATGTTATTTTGCACAATCAACAACTTTCCTGCATATGATAATTTGGCTGGATATAGTGTCAAAGAACACAAAGCCTGTTCTATTTGTGAATTTGATACATGTTATCACCAACATGAGTTGGAAAAAAGACTGTTTTCCTTGGGAATTGAAAATTTCTAAAACCCGATCATTCTTATCATAGATTGCAGAAGGCTTTTAATAGAGATCAGGATTTTGATATCGCTCCTAAACTTTTAACTGGGGATGAAGTTTATCAATGACATAAACACATTAATGTTGTCCATGGAATGAGAGAAAAATAAAAAGGGCAAGTTGTTGAGAAAAATATATGGAAAAAGAGGTCTGTGTTTTTTGGTCTTCCATATTGGTCAAGTCTCGATGTAATACATTGTCTTGATGTGATGCATGTGGAGAAAAATATGTGTGATAGTTTGATTGAAACACTTCTAAACATTCCAAGCAAGACTAAAAATAGTAAGAAATCTCGTCTCGATATGGAGACGATGGGTATACAAAATCAATTGGCTCTATTAGAAAAAGGGAAATGAACTTATCTACCTCCGGCTTGTTATACTCTATGTAAAAAGGAAAAGAAAAGTTTTTGCCAGTGTTTGCGTGGTATCAAAGTTTTCCAAGGTTACTCATCAAACATCAAGAAACTTGTATCAATGAAAGATCTCAAGTTAATTGGTTTTAAATCTCATGATTGTCATGTCTTGATGCAATAACTTCTACCAGTGGCTATCCGTGGCATTCTACCAAAAAATGTGAGAGTAACTATCACCAGATTGTGTTTGTTTTTCAATTCCATATGTAATAAAGTTCTTGATTTCAAAAAATTAGATGAATTAGAAGATGAAGCTGCCATAATCTTGTGTCGATTGGAGATGTATTTTTCTCCATCATTTTTTGACATTATGGTTCACTTACTTGTTCATCTAGTTAAAGAAATCAGAATTTATGGTCTAATTTATTTAAGGTGGATGTATCCAATAGAGAGATACATGAAGATCTTGAAAGGATATACAAAGAATCATCATCGGGCGGAAGCTTCGATTGTTGAAAGGAACATCACAGAAGAAGCTATTGAGTTTTGTACAAACTATTTGTCGAAAGCAGAGTCTATAGGAATTCCAAAGTCTCGTTATGCTGACACTGAAGGTAGAGGTATTCAAGGTTTAAATGTTAAGTCAATGGCTCGGGATGTAGTTATTCAAACACATTTCTATATATTGAATAATCTTGAAGAAGTTCAACCGTACGTGGCTACTGACAAAAAACTTTTGAAAAAAAGATATCCACGAATGAGTGACAAGTTGTTGTTGATCGAGCATAACAAGAAATTCCTAGATTGGTTCAATAAAAGGATACCAAAAGATCATAATGCATATGAGACAATTCAATGGTTGTCGTTCATGCCAAATTTTAATGTGATAACCTGGACTGCACATTACATTAATCATTATACCTTTTATACAAAATCAAAAGATCATCGTAGTACAGTGTAAAATACTGGGGTTATGGTTGAGGCCGAATCCATGTATTTCTCTAGTTCGAAATATAAGAATCCATTAATATTGGCATCTAGTGCATTCTATGGTGTCATTGAGGAGATTTGGGAGATTGATTATGTTATCATCAGAGTGTCTTTATTTAAATGCAAGTGGATTCTCAATAATATTAATGGTGTACAAACTAATGATTTAGGATTTATCTGGTTTGACCTTAGCAAAACAAATTATATGACCAAACAACACATCATGTGTAACACCCCCTTTCTATACCCCAAATAATACAAATAATCATTTACGCATAAATTCAAAATTTCATCAGAGTACATTTATATCATGGCATAAAAGGGGCATATCACATTATACCAAAAATTCAACACATACAACACTTGCTCAACAGATATGCAACATCGGGGCAACACCCACAAGAAAATATTTAGAACAAAGGCGGAAACATCCAAATATTTCATAACTTCCAAAACATGTATTCACATATACAATTATCATTCACCATGTTTACAAAACATATCATCAGCAGATACATGCACAGGTGTGTCACAAAAAAATCAAAATAATCCCTAATACCCGGTGCCACATATCAGAGCCAACCGACCAAAAAGATTGAAGCCACGCTTCACAAAAGATCTCCAGCAATCTAATCTACAATGCCTCATATAGCATTATAAAACAGCAGAAGGGTGAGAAAAATTATCATAATACATAATGCATATAAACATATATACATATATACACATAACGTCCAATAACATCGTTCGCGTTCTCACCACAACTCATCTCACTACACCGTACATCGTAATGTATTCACAAATATCTATTTACAAATAAAACACTAAGCATATACAATATGCATCATCAATGTTTATATTAAATCATAAACATACACACATATACAGATATACTCACACATACATGTATCTTCAAACATTCCATTCATGCCAATTATCAACAGCTTACATAAACATCTACAATCATGTTTATTCACCATACATCGTGCAAAGATGATAAATGCAAATCATAGAGGCCAACTCGCTACTCTACGCAAATGTAATACGATACCGACTTAATCGTCCATCAGATTCTCCTAAGAATCAATTTACTCACGCCCCTCACGGGTACACTATAACTCATCAGATTCTCCTAAGAATCGCATTGCTCATCAGATTCTCCGAGGAATCACACCGCTCATCAGATTCTCTGAGGAATCACATCGTTCATCAGATTCTCCGAGGAATCACATCGTTCATCAGATTCTCCGAGGAATCACATTGTTCATCAGATTCTCTGAGGAATCACATCGTTCATCAGATTCTCCGAGGAATCACATTGTTTATCAGATTCTCCGAGGAATCACATTGTTCATCAGATTCTCCGAGGAATCACATTGCTCATCGGACTCTCCTAGGAATCCTATCACTCATCAGACTCTCCTAGGAATCAATAACCCAAGAATGTACTTCATGATGCTTCACATGCAAAATGACTCCATACACTTCTTGAAATGCATACATGTTTACAAACATACTCATGCATTCTTCACATTCATCGCATATATTCATTATGCATTCACAATATATATACATATCACAATACATATATACCTATTCACCATTCATTCACACCAATTCATACCTGGTTTATATTTACCATTCGATCTCAACATGCATTTCTATTCAATTCAAGTAAATGCTCCAAATTGCTAAACGGCCACATTCCACACTTCACAAATCACAAACTAGGATTCACGCCATACGGCTACCCACAACACACATAACAACATATAACTAGTCATCTCAGACAAAGAATGATCGCAACCAAACCACACAACCAATCCACGAATGAAAAACACAAGAAAAGAAAATATGTTGCTGTGTTCGCTAACCTTCGCCTGGCGAAGCCTCTGGCGAACCTTCGCTTCTCTGTTCGCCTGGCGAAGTTGCCAGCAAAGACCACTGGGATTTATTCTGGAATTACTCGCTAGCACTCGCTAGCATACTCGCCTGGCGAACCTTCGCCACTCTCATTCGTTTGGAAAACTTGCCAGCGAAGACAGGGTGGATGCTTCTGACTTGGTTCGCTGCTGCTCGCTGGGCTTCGCTGCCATTCGCCTGGCGAACCTGCGAACTCAGAACACCCATGGCTGTCCAAAAGCCCAAACCTCCAAACCGACCGATTTAATCCAAATCAGTTCCAGTAGTACAACCCACTCATCACCCGACTATATTACACCGTCTATTCCAAATTCTAACCGATAAAACTCAGTTTCTACCGATTAAATCAATTTCCGACCTAGAAATGGAAACATAGAAAACAATCCAACAAATCCAATCTAGCACATACATGATCATACACATTATGAAGATGATAAAACTTCTCACCCTTACCTGATTAACCGCAAGCTAGGGTTTGATCTTGATGTTTTCCAAAGTTTCCTCTTCTTTCTCTCCTCTTTCTCTTCTCCTTCTTTCTTTCTCTTTTCTTTCCTTCCTTTCTTACTATCTTTCTTTCTCTTCTATTTCCTCTTTAATATCTTCCTATTATTTTCCCAAAACATCTACTAACTCAATATCTCATAAAATATCCAACTTA